AGAAGCAGGCCTCCCGCTGAGCAGGGAGCCCGATGCGGGGCTCGATCCCAGGACCCTGAGATCATGACCCGAGCCGAAGGCAGACGCTCAACGACTGAGCCACCCAGGCGCCCCATAAAATTGTTACTTTTAAATGAAAAAATTGTGAGACATATATTCTTTTAAAGTCCACAAGATACATTCACCAAGATAGAGCATACACTGCGCCATAAAACATGTCTCAACAAATTTAAAAGAACTGAGATGGGGCGCCTGGGTGGCTCAGTTGGTTAAGCAACTGCCTTTGGCTCAGGTCATGATCCTGGAGCCCCAGGATTTAGTCCCACATCTGGCTCTCTGCTCAGCAGGGAGTCTGCTTCTCCCTCTGACCTCTCCCCTCTCATGCTCTCTCTCTCAAATAAATAAATAAAATCTTTAAAAAAAAAAAAAAAGAAAGAATTGAGATCATACAGAGTATGTTCTCTGACAATAGTGGAATTCAATAATAAAATGCAAATGAAATCAATAATGATATGACATATAGGGGAAAAAAACCCCAAATATTTGGAAATTAAACAATATACTTCTAAATAATGTGTGGGCCAAATAATTATTCAGAAAAGAAAATATTTCAAGCTGAATAATAATGAACATACAGCATAGCTAAAATCATGAAATGCAGCCAAAGCATTGCTTAGAAGGAAATTTAAAGCTCTGAATATATGTATCAGAAAAGAAGAAAGGTCTAAAGTCAATGACCTGCGGTTTTACCTTAAGAAGCCAGAGAAAGAAGAGTGCAAGAAAAGGCAGCTTGACACTTCCTATTCTCACGAGGATGGGATAGAGCAGCTCTGGGGTCAGTCTGGAGTTGGGGGAAGATGGGCCATGTCTCAAGACTCCTCAAATTGTATCAGGAGTTGATTTGTTCTGAGTTAAATTTTCTTTCCCCACACACTTATCATGACAGCCACTGGCAAACTACAGACCTAGGAGACAGGAGAATTTTCCACCATCACCTCCTCTTCCCAGTTCCATTTCCTATCAGGGAGGCTCAAGAAGGGGCACTTCTGGAGTTCCACCTCTCCCCAGCCTGGTTCAACCAGGAGACTCCCAACCTAAGTCCTCCCTCTGAATGGGGAACACTTTGTCCGTATTCATTCAGTCATCGAGATACTCACTGAATCCCTACAATCAGGGAGAGAATATTGTTTAGTAAAGCACTGGGATTTTATGATGTATCTCTAACTGAGATCCAGTTCCGCAACTTATAAGCAATCCAGGCCACATTACTTGCTCTCCCGGAACCTCAGTTGTACCATCTACAAAATAGGGATAATAACAGCTACCTACTTCCTGGGGCTGCTGTAAAGTTTGGATTGAAAAATGCATGCAAAGGGCTGAGCCTGGAGCCGGGCCCATAGCAGGGGCTCAATAACAGGGAACCATTACTTCTCCAAAGCTTTGGGTAAGGCTCTGTGGAGACAGACACGGACACAGCCCCAGCCTCGCAGGAGCACACAGAGTGGTCCTCACTCTTGCCCTCATGACACACACTGCCCAGACTGCCCAGGCCTCACCCTGGATCCTCAGGCTCTCCTGATACTGGATGATGAAGTACTCTTGAGTCTGCTGAAGCTTCTTCAGTTCATTCTCTGTGTCCTGTGTGACCAGTCGCAGCTCCTCAAACGTCTGGTTGATCTGGAGGTGCTTCTGGGACATGGCGTCAACCAGGATCCCAGCCGGGGAACTCCCCTGGGGACATATCAGGGGGAGAGTGCAGGCAGCGGTGAGCTGAGCAGTGAGGATGGAAGGCAACCTCAGGCTTTGGGGAACGCTAATACTACAGACCCCAAACTCCAAATCTAGAGTAAGATGGGTAACTTGTGTCAGAAGGATAGTCATTTACCAGAATTGGTGTGGAGTTGGAAAGGAGGGGAAACAGGTGAGCTGGCAGATTAGGACAACTTCATAAAGCACAGCAGAAACTTCTGTTGTAGCTCTGGCCTCCACCTGAGTCGCCCCAACAGGGTCCACCTAAGCTTTCTTCGGAGAGACTAGAACTCAACACATCCAGGAGTGACCTGGGTTTGCCTACTAATGATGATGACCCCTTCATTCCACATTTGTTCACCAATCCAATGCCATGGACCATGTGAGGCGCTGAGGACACAGCGCAGAACAAGGCTGTGTGAACACACATCATCCGTGTCCTCACTCAAGACCTTCTCGTAACTGAGGGAAGTTACAGGGAAGGTATTGATAAGGCCATTTAAGTGACCTGGCCTGATCTGTTCCTTCAACATCTGGCTGAGAGGAGACCAAATCTTCAGGGCCTGTCCCGTAAACTGGTCTCAGAATAAAATCCAAACTCTTTCCCACAGCCTCCAGTGCCCTAGCTGAGAGCTTCTGCCTACCTCCACCCCCAGCACCACTGCTGCCCAAGCACACCAGGTACTTTCTGTTCCTTGAATACACAAACACGTTCCTGCCTCAGGGCCTTTGCACTTGTTGTTCCTTCACTCTGGAACATTCTGGCACCAAATCTTCCCAAGGCTGGCATTTCAGCTGGCACCTTTTCAGAGTGACTTTCTCTGATGGGCCGATTTCAAATAGCACCATCCTTACCTGAAAGTGTCTTGTTCTGTTTTTATTTCTCTCTTCTCTGCCTCCATGCACTAGGATATAAGCTCCCAAGTGCTAGAACCTTGTCTGTCTTGCATGCCACAAAATCCCCAAGAGGTAGCACATCAGAGGTTTTCAAGAGCAGCTTGATGGTTGGGAGAAGGAATGATTTCCCCCCTGACCAAGACAACACCTATGCCCTAGACAGGTATTTCTTAATTGGAGCTGAACTCATTTGTATATTTACAGATAGTTCTGCGGTGGCCACAAGTCAAAGGATACAACAGTTTTCCTGGAAGACTCTTTGTGACCTGGCTTCTGCCTCCTCTCTGGCTTTACCTATTGGGGTTCCCCAATTTGCTCCCTTCTCCCCAATACCACTGACTACTTGCAAGTCTTCAAATGTGTTAAGACGGTTCCTGCCTTCCTGGCCAGACTCTTGTTACCTCTGCTCATCTTTCCTTCTTCTTCCCCCTTTCCCCCTCTAGTTTAGACATCCCTGTCCTCAGGACACCCCCCCTGCCAGGCTGCCTTAGTCTGAGTTGGGTACTTTTTCCATATATGGCCCCTTAGTACCCAGCTCACCCCTAGAGAATCTATCACTGCTTGAATTCCTTTCAGGTGGGGACCAGGCCTTTATCTGTTTCTCTAGTCCTAGCCCAGTGTCAGACACCACAGGACCTCCATAAATGTTTACTGAATGAACTGTAAAATTCCTGAGATCAGCATCCACAGCAATAAATAAATAAGCTCCAGGCACTATTCCGTGGTCTTTACCTATGTGATGCCACTTTATGAAATTCATCTTGCTTTACTCTAGATAAGATAATGTCTGTCCCATTGTTCAAGCAGATGTTCAGTGCCTTCAGGATTACAGAGCTCGGGGGATGAGTCCCTTTCTGCCTCTCTGGGCCTCACCTCTCTGAGCTTGCCAGGGTGTCTCTTCTGACACAGACCTCAGCTCCACCTCTCCTCACAGACCACCAGAGAACATTTCTCATTTCAACCCTAGCACCATTTATTAAACGACAAATACTTTTCCCTGGTGGTTTGTGATGCCATGTCTAATGAGGGTGGAATTTCCAGGGGTGTGTGTGCATGCGTGCATGTTTAGGGCTTCCTCTTCTGTTTCATTGGTCTGTTTGTCTATCCCTGGCCCACACAGTATCTCATTTAACCCTGACACTAATTCTGTAAGGTAGATACCGTTACTAGCCCTATTTACAATTGAAAAAACAGAGGCTCAGCGAGGTTAAGTTACTTGCTCAAGTCACACAGCTAGTAAGTGATTGAGCCAGGGCCTGAGGAGAAGGTACAGGGACTGGACCTGCCATGTGCCGTTGCTTCTCACACTTGCCCATGTCCCTTATTTCCCTGGTGCTCTCTTGTCAGCATTTATAAAACACAGTTGTGTGTGGAAGGACTTCCCAGCT